ATGTTGGCATTTATATTCCATGAGAGGTCGTCTGAGATGTAAGTACCCAGAAATTTAAAACTACCAACTCTCTCCACTTCCTCACCGTTTATGTACAGTGGTAAATGTACATTTCTCTTCCTCCTAAAATCAATTATGAGTTCTTTAGTTTTTTTGATGTTAAGTGTGAGATGATTTTCTTTACACCAAATTATCAACCTTTGTACTTCCTTTCTATAAGCAGACTCATTGTTCTTATTTATGAGCCCCACCACTGTCGTATCATCCGCAAATTTAATAATTGCATTGGTGTTATACAGTGGGGTGCAATCATGTGTGTACAGGGAATAGAGGAAGGGACTTAGCACACAGCCCTGGGGAGCTCCTGTACTTAGTACCAGGGTAGAAGAATGGTGAGATCCCATCCTTACTGACTGTGGCCTATCTGTCAGAAAATCCTTTATAAACACCTAAGACAATCAATATAATTATAAATATTTGCATTTAGCATTAACACTAATTACATTGCATCACCTTTATTATTTCCCATCACTATACGCATCTCAATTCATAAACATCAAAATAAACTGTACTTTAATCATATTTCATAACTCTTACATAAACAGAACATTTAATACACCATCATAAACTTTTTGTAATCCATCCATTAGTTGTTTGGCCTTTGAGAGAAGGCATCAGCATCCATGCTGTGAGTCCCTTTTATGCTGCAGGTTCCGTGTCCATCTTGCAAGCTTACTGTTAGTGGATTTTGTAGCCACACCAGAGGGAAAGGGTTGGTGCAAAGGATGAATTTCATTCTCCAAGTGTAGGACTTCAGTCTTTGAAGCATCCAAACAATAGATAGGCACGCCCTCTTGATTGCAGACGAATGTCTCTCACCAGATTGGAGTTTCTTGCTGATTAAAGTCACTGGGTGTAGATTCCCACTGTCATCCGCTTGGCGCAGCATGGCTCTCAGTCCTATGTTTGACACATCTGTACAGAGGATGAACTTCTGGTTGAAGTCCGGTGCAACAAGGACAGGCCTTGAAGTCCAATACCATTATATATATAGGAAGACAGGGTGTTCGCTACAATCACCAAGTGAAATCTTGTCTGAAGAGAAGGGTCTTTGCCTGCTTGTGCAAGGACAGCAAAGATCAGGCCAGTCTGGCTTTCCATGGGGGGGGGAGTTCCAAAGTTGGGGTACACCAACAGGGAAGACCCTCCCCTATATCCCCATTGCAATAGCACCACTATAATCTGTGTTTTTCAGCTTCCGTGGGCTGAGGGCTTGGAACTGTACTTCTGTGGATACGGAGGTCCTACTGTATTGGCAAATGTTGACAAACCTCAGAGGACCTCCTTCAATGCTAACTGGCATCACTAGTCTTGCTGTCTGAACTCAAGTGGCTGGCAACTGCAAAATTGGTGTTTTCTTGTAGCAAGCGGCCTGAGGAATGCTTTCCCCAACAATACTGTCTTGATATTCTTTGCACCTTTGTACTGTGTGTGTGATGATCGTTCCTTTCTCACAGGTGATCATTGTTACCTTCTCACAGGTTTTCATAGTGGATTTTTTTCTCATGCTGCATGCATAGCAGTTTTAATGTTTTAATATGTCTTTAATTTCTTTATGCTTGTACATGATACTGTAAGCCACTCTTCCAGCAAATCTACTAAATAGTAGCTTGCAAATTCTTAAAATATGGAATATACTGCAGATTTCCATATTGAAGACGAACAAGCTGGGGGTACATCCAGAGGGTGTAGGCATCCTTCAGTCTCAAGAGACTATGGTAATGTGTTCTGAATAGACGAAGCAGCATCTAGTGTGACTGTGAAAGCCAATTTCAGGGTGACAATCCCTTCCACACTGAAGACAAATACAATCTGTCCCCTGTCCCACTCCCTGACTTTGCTGGTTTGGGGACTGCCTCTTTGCCTTGGCCCACTGAACAAGTGTCTCTTCAAATTGGGAGAGGCCATGCTGTACTGCCTGCTTCCAGGAGGAATACTCAGATGTCAAAGTATCTCATTCAGTTGAGGTCCATTCCTAAGATCTTCAGATCCCACTTGCAGATGTCCTTCCATCGCAGTTGTGGTCTCCCTCTGGAGCACTTTCCCTGTACTAATTCTCCATTCAGGAGATCTTTTGGAATCTGACAGTCAGCCATTCTCACGACATGCCCCAGCCAACATAGACGTCACTGTTTCGGTATTGTATACATGCTAAAAATTCCAACTCATTCTTAGGACTACTCTATTTGGAAGTTTGCCCTGCCAGGTGATGCAAAGGTACATGAAATCAGGAACACCTTCCAATTCTTGTATGGAGATGGTAATAGAGGGAGGTGAGGCCACACCAGGTGATACCAAAAATGCATCGGAGACAACACGTATGGAACGTGCTCAGCTTCCTCTCCTGCCCTGCACAAAGGGTCCAAGACTCGCTGCAATACAGGAGTGTACTCAGGACACAAGCTCTATAGACCTGGACCTTGGTATATGCTGTTCAGAGGGTAGAAGCACTGAAACAGTGACCAACCTCTTTGGTGTCTTCTGTTCTCAGGAGGGTCTTGTGGTCCTGCGCTTAGGCTAGAGTTTGCCGAACTCCTTGATGAATATAAGGGAAATAATTCTTTTCCTATTGGCTTGACTGTGAAATACGGTTGCCGCCCAGGATATTTCAAAGTTCCTGGATTGAAGTCTTCAATAACATGCTTTAGAAATCAAGAGTGGTCAGAAGTTCAGGAATTCTGTAAACGTAAGTCTTTGATCACTGACAGGAGAAGAAGTGAGAAAGGGGAGGAAAAACAGGATAATTCTATGCAGGGCTTCTCATAAGGTACCCACTATTTCAGGGGTTTATATGAAAGAGAGTAATGAGGCCATGCAGTTCCCCCTTGGTGCATTTCTTTTCTCTTACCTGAAATAGCACAAGAAGCCTCAATCAGTTTTGTGCTTTCGAGTGAATGATAAATGTAAAATGAAATGGAGTAAAATAGGATTTCTCTGGTTTTGTATCAGGAAAATCATGTGGACATCCAGGAGATCCAGATAATGGCAGGCTGATTGTATCAGGGGATTTTCTCTTTGGTTCTACCATCAGTTACATCTGTGACGAAGGGTAAGCAGTAGGGAACCAAGAAAAGGTTTCCTTTCTGTTTTTAAAAGGTGAGGAGAATACCTGAATGGGGAGCAGCCAAGAACTCCCCCAGCTTTGCTGGGCTTCAGCTGACTGCCTGTTTTATTTCTTGGAAACTAATTCCTGCCCTGTGAAAGAGAAGGAATTATTTTAAAAGGCTCAGAATATTTCAGGAATATGCCTTCTCCCCTTGAAGCTTTTCTGAAGCCCCCTTATTATTTTTTTAAAGTCATCCGGAGAGAGTGCTGAATAAAGGCTGAAAACCCTTTCTCTCTTTCTCTGGAGGCTGGAAGTACCTGAAGTTGGACTTGCCTCTCCCAGATCTGCTCTGAGGGGCTGTGTGTCCCTTCCTTCCCTACCAGGAGGCTGGGAGTACCTGAAGTTGGTCTTGCCTCTCCCAGATATGCTCTGAGGGCTTGTGCAGCCCTTCCTTCCCTACCATTTAACTTTGACATCAAGTGAAGTAAAAACAGGGTGGAAATGTGCCTAATATGAGAACCCCCTAATCACTGTACCTGGCAAGGCTTTCAATGTCTGCCTTCAGATCTGCTTTCGCCATTGAGTGCAGTTACTCTGTGAGTCCTTCATGAAGCAGGATGTTCATTAACAAATGGTTACTTGATTGCATCTTTTATGGTCGAAGACTCTTGTTTAGAATACATGGTAGCAAACTTAGGAACTACTGTACTTGTTTGTGTGTAGGAGGAAGCGAACTCTCATTTCCCACACCAGAATCACAATCATCATATGCTAAGTAGGAGGCACCTGAATGTGAAAGAAACTAATACCTCAACATTGCTTGTTTTTTTGCAATATAGGCACAGGCTACTCGGTGCTTCTTCACGAAGGTGTGAGATATTGGGCAGAAGAGTGCAGTGGACTGGTGACGTTCCCTTTTGTCAGCGTACGTGGAACATGACTTGGCATCTCTGTATCTCTATTGTATTCCGGATGAGCTCCTTCATGATACAGTTTCACGGTTTCAGGGCCTCTCCAAAATATGTGTGGGGAAGAAGGGAAAAGCTGGTGTGAGCTCCACCACTGACTCCTAGAGTAGGGGCAGGGGGCGACCCGGCCTCATGTGGATAACCATGAGCTCCCAATCTGAGACAATCCTGGGTTTATTCTGAGGGAGGCAGGGATTGCAGACCTGGTTCTTCGACTGGCAACCCCTTTCCGCTCTGAGTCTCATGTTGTGGCAGAGAAGGTTGGAGAGTTTCCTGCACTGCCCCCGGGTCTCTTTGGTTGGTTAGAATGGTCGTTTCCTCCACTGGGGAGAGACAGAATAGAAACCACAGAGCTCCCAGGAAGTCTTGTGCAAATCTGGCCCCTTTCAGGGAGGATTTGCAACTCCCTTCGGAGCCCTCCCTAGGTTGTCGTCTGACCCTCTTGCAGACGCCTGAGGTTTCCTCCAGTTTCGCCAGGCTCCACCTCTCTTCTCCCTCTCCCACCTCTTCCTTCTCTAACTTTATGGCTCATTCAGCCCAGCCGTTTCTGCCTGTCCCATGTGCTGGCCTTTCTCCCTTGCAGCTGCCTCCTTTTCCTAGGCGGGCCATCCCATACCAGCGACCCCCTGAGCTCTGATGGTTTCTGTGTCCAGCAAGCCTTCCTGGGGATGCAGACAAGATCAAACGGCCTACTTGGTGTGCTGCCCAACGCCATCTCCTCACAGACAGATTAGCATTGCTGCAGTTAATCAGCCTCACACTGGGTGATGAAACCTTTATATATGACTAGGATGCAGCTTTATGACTATCACGATCAAACTAAATGAGATAGTCAGTTCAAATATACAAGTTAGTATTGGCTCATTATCCCTCCAGAAACAAGGATTCAGGAAAGGAGTTAACTCTCCTTCACTGGAGAATTACACAAATCTTGCCGTCAATCAAAGATATTCCGCATGCCACAGGATTGCTCACTTCAAATTAAAAGAAATAGCTACCAGTTAAGCCTGTAATATGTGCCTTCTGATGGTTGTCCCTTTAGGTATCCCATGTTTCCCACCGCCAGACATTCCTCATGGCACACACAGTGGCAGATACGAGGATGACTTCACTTATGGGACAGTCGTAACATATACCTGTGAAGACGGCTACCCGCTTCTCGGAGATGCCCACATTCACTGTACCTCTAAGGATGGGTTCCATGGAGAGTGGAGTGGCCGTGTATATTGTGGAGGTGAGCTTTTCAGTTCTCCTGTGCTTTGTGGAGAAAAGACGAAAGCATGGGTATCTGGTAGTATGGTATTTTGGTAGTGAGCGCATATATATTTTCTTCCCCACCTCAAAATATATCGAGCGCTTCGTTTAATACGAATCCTCATAAATATGATTGCATTGCAATGTTTTAAATGGAAAAATATCGCTTTGCGATGATCGTTAAGCTGTTTCGCTTACCGATATTTGCATCGCAATGTTTTCCTAACAGCTGATCGGCGGTTCCAAAATGGCTACCGCATTAAAAAAAACGGCCTTCCGAGGTGTTTTCGCACCCATTCCTCGCTTACCGGGCAGCGAAAATGGTGGCCGTATGGAGGATTTTAGCATAACAGTGAGTTTTTTGCCCATAGGAATGTATTAAACGTGTTTTAATGCATTCCTATGGTCTCTTTTGTTCCGTATAGCGACGAATCCACATAGCGATGATTTTTCTGTAACGGATTATCATCGTTATGTGGGGCACCACTGTAATCCAGTCTCAATATTGCTCAACAGCTAGTCAAAGCTAACATATCCATCCATGATATGGCATCCAAAGAGCTAAAGAGAGAGACATAGAAACAAACCTGCTCTTCTTCCCCTCTTCATTGTTCTAAAATGTCTCCTCTTTTCAGTGAGGGAGTGTCCACCGCCTCAGCTTGAGAATGGGAGGATTATTCGCGGGGTTTCTCAAAAGTACATACATAACCAAAGTGTCACGTTTGACTGCAACAAGGGCTACATGATGTCTGGCTCAAGAGAGATCCGTTGCCAGATGGACGGCATGTGGGAGCCACCTCTCCCTCACTGTGAACGGGGCAAGTATATGGAGGAAGCTCTCCCTTTGAAAGAGCATGACGTTTAACAAGGAGAGCCACTAGGTAGTAGGGATGTGCCAGGAAGGGATGCAATATCACAAGAAAAAGCAGAGAAACGCCCTGCCCTCCCCCCTCACCCTGCCATCTTGGATGGGTACAGGCAAGACACGCTTTGTCTTCTCTGGATTGGTCCACTTAAAGAAAAGAGCTGAAACCATCACTGATTAGGTGATGGCCGGGCATATACCTAAATCCGCTTTTTCCATCCAACCGTTCTCTTTCCTCCTTGCAGCTGTGCACTGCCAGCCCCCACCAGATGTGCCAAATGGGAGTTACAGCAACCGGGAAGCCACAGCATTTACCCCTGAAATGTTTGTGGATTACACCTGTGATCTGGGCTATGCTCTTATTGGAGAGGCCACTATTTTTTGTACATCATCAGGGACATGGTCTTCCCCTGCCCCTCGTTGCAAAGGTAAATATTTCCACTGTATGGCAGTCCATTTTGGGAAACCACAGCACTGAGAATCTGGATTCACACTCCAAACAAAGTGTGCTGCTTCTATACCATTCCTTACTGCATGAAGCAGTCTCTGGGCAGTGCACAATTGAATTCTGCAGGATACTTATTGGCTCTGCCCATAGCAAGATTGGTACCCAATTAACTAACCTTGGAAGGATGAAGGGCTGAGTCCATCTTGAGCTGACTTCCTTGAATCCATTGTGATCAAGCTCAGGTGGTGGGCAAAGTCTTGGCTGAAGTTCTACATTTTGAACACTGTGCCTCCTGGCCCCTACAACCATTTATGCATTGAAAAGTATGCTTCCTGACCAATCTGAGAATGAAGATGCTTCAGTTATTCCTGTTTTCTCAGATGGGTCTTTTGGAGTGTCAGAATTCACTTCTGTATGGCAGTGGTATCACTTGCTAGTAGGTGTACATCTCTAATATGTTTATCATTGAGCAGCTGGTATGGTTGATCACTAGAATCATCAGACTAGTCTTCATTTATATTTATTTATTTATTTATTTGATTTATACCCTACCTATCTGGCCCGCCGGGCCACTCTAGGTCCGTGCTCGGGCCTAGACCCTCTTGTAAATATATGGCGGTTAGACATAAACGGTTGTGATATGATTCGGGCAGCTTCTTTCCTGGGCCAGGAGAATTCCATTGCAAGAAAAAACTGACTTCCATTAAACCCTAAGCCTGGTAATTTCATTGCAGTGTGTTTTGGTACGGCAAGTATTTTCATATTCTCCCTATCCCAAAATAATGATAATCTGTTACACATATTGCTAAGCAGCCCATCAAAAGTAATCCATTTGTCCATGATATGGTGTCCAAGGAACTCAAGAAATAGACACAGAAATAACCTTGTCTTCTTATTTTTCTCTCTCTCTCCCTTCATTGTTCTAAAACACCTTCTCTTTTCAGTGAGGGAGTGCCCACCGCCTCAGCTTGAGAACGGAAGGATTGTGGGTGGTCTTTCTGACACCTACAGACATAACCAAAGTGTTACCTTGGACTGCCACAATGGCCACACGATATCTGGCTCAAGAGAGATCCATTGCCAGATGGATGGCACGTGGGAGCCTCCTCTCCCTCTCTGTGAACAGGGTGAGGATCCGGACAAAGCTCTCCCTTTCTCAGAGCAGTATCTATCACCATAGCTGGGATGTGCCATCTATCTATATGTGTTTTGATGTTTCTTTCGTGCATGAAAGGGAAAGCCGGGTTATTGATTCATATGCCCTAGAAGTAGCCCAAATTAAGCCCCAGAGAAGCCCTAAAAACCATTCCAGAAAAGCAGAGAGCAGATAAACAATCTACTCCAAAAAGCCCATGCAAACTGTATTTTACTCATTCTCCCTGCAGGAAAATGCCTAAGCTTTAGAAAAGAGAAACCAACCATGTGATTTCAGTGCCTCTGATTCACCACACTAAGAGATCTTGTGGGCCTTTGCAGCAGAATGGTGAAAATGAATAAGCCACTGCTGAGCCGGGGCTTTGGCAACGTGGCTTACCTTTGCCTTCTTCCACGGAGGATGCAAGATCTCTTTTAAGTCTCGCATGTTAGGCTATTTAAAGTATGTTTCCCCCTCTTCGCTTCCTATTTCTGGCTGACATTGCTGACAGAAGGAGTCTCGCTGTCTGGATCATTTCCAGCCACGTGGTGGCAGAAAGGTCCTCACAGTTCTTTGTGGATCGGGCGGTTGCATCTGCTTCTCCCCTCGGTTTGACTGGCGATTGAAAATCCCGTTTCAAACACCTTGTTTTTCTTACCCTCATGCTTCTGTTTAATTTATATTGAATTAAATTAATAATTAATTGCTTGTATATTTTCCTAAAGGGGGGGTATGACAGCAGCGCTCACGTGTATCGCACAACAATGTTAACCCTCCTTTGGGGTTATAAATACTGGGATGGAAGTTGTTGATTATTGCAAAGTGGGGATCAGGATGATTCATCGGTATAGTTAGTTTATCTTATATTCCTTGTTATTTAGTTCCCAAATAGGAGTTGGCTTGGTTTGGCCGTTAAGTTCGGCAACAAGTCGCATGCCTCCCCCCTTCCACTGTTTCAAATTGCCTGGCACCCGCCTTTAATTTTGAATTGGAATCAGTTGGCCACTTCACTTGACCATAGCTGATGTGAAGGGAAGAGTTGCCCAGTAATTTAGTGGTTTAATTCCCCCCCCCAATTTTTTGGCTTGGATAGTGTCCTCCTCCCTTGACTCCGCCTTCCTTCCACTCATAGGCTCCTTCTTCACTGTTCTGCTGTGACGGATAGGTGAGGGCTGTTCGCTACAGATAGTTTATCAGAGGCAATCTAGGACTCGTTATAATTTGATATTTTGAATTAATTAGATCAGGATAGGTATATATTTTAAAAAGGAAAGTTAATTTGGTTGATTAATCTATCAGATTGCTGGGGGTTTATAGACAGTAAGTAAATAAAGTGCTGGTGCATTAATAATATTTAGTATCTCAACTGAATTGATTACCGGTAATTAATTGTGCATCTCGGTGGCAAGATAATTAATTAATTGGATTTAATTTAAAAGTGGGGATTAATGGGGGACAATCAAATAGTGGATAATTAATTAATTATAATTTAGTTTAAAAATTAACTTGAAAATAAATTAATAAATACTAATAATATTCACATATCTATAAAGTGAAGTATAATAAGGATTTTTATCAAAACTTACATGTTTGACAGTGTGCCTGGGCAAGCTGGGTATTGCTTCACGTACTGGAGGCCAGGTTCCTGAAATCTAGAAATCAAATAGTGGATAATTAATTAATTATAATTTAGTTTAAAAATTAACTTGAAAATAAATTAATAAATACTAATAATATTCACATATCTATAAAGTGAAGTATAATAAGGATTTTTATCAAAACTTACATGTTTGACAGTGTGCCTGGGCAAGCTGGGTATTGCTTCACGTACTGGAGGCCAGGTTCCTGAAATCTAGATTATTGGTCAAGTGAAGTATAATAAGGATTTTTATCAAACACTTACATGTTTGACAGTGTGCCTCGGCAAGCTGGGTATTGCTTCACATACTGGAGGCCAGGTTCCTGAAATCTAGTTTATTGGTCAGTAGTAAAATTAGAACACAAAATGGCACCGAAGAAAGGCCAGGGGAATAAGAAAGGAAAACAGCTGATGAAAAAACAACCAGTACCTCAGATTTCACCACCACAGTCTTCATCTGATGAGGACTCATGGCTCATAAGGCAGCAACCCCAAGACAGGATTTCTGCCCTTGAAGCTGCTAAGTCGGCTAGGGGCAACCCCTTAATCTAGTGAGGCACAGCCATGCCAGTCGGCAAGAGAATCCAAAGATCACACTAGAGCTAGGCTTAGGGCTTTCGCAAACAACTTAATGACAAGGTTTACCATTTTAGAAGCTGAACAGCACAACGAAGGAACGTTGGGATGGGAAGTCGAAGGGATGATGGCCCAGGCATCACATTGGGACAGGGACAAAGAGAGGTCCACTCCAATTGCGGTACTGTTCAGCACGCCGGCCTTGAGTGGACTGGAGACAACTGGTGATGCTGGTCAGGACGGCTCAGGGAGCAGGGACGAGCCAGTTACAACGCTTTTATCAGGTGAGTCCACTAGCACACACGATACCTCACCACAATTCCTGGCATGGCCTGGGTGGGGCACGGGGCAAACACTTGCACTTGACACATCCATATCATTTCTAGCTTGGCCTTGGCCGGGCAGCAGTTTAAACGCTGTGCATGGCTCATGAGCTAATTGTTGTTTAGTCATTAAGTCGTGTCTAACTCTTTGTGACCCCATGGACCAGAGCACCCCAGGCCCTCCTGTCTTCCAATGCCTCCCAGAGTTCGGTCAAAATCATGGTCGTTGCTTCGGTGACACTATCCAACCATCTCATCCTCTGTCATCCCCTTCTCCTCTTGCCTTCACAATTTCCCAACATCAAGGTCTTTTCCAGGGATTCTTCTCTACTCATGAGATGGCCAAAGTATTGGCGCCTCAGCTTCAGCATCTGTCCTTCAAGTGAGCACTCAGGGTTGATATCCTTCTTGAGCTAATTAGGTCCACTTAAAGAAAGGAAACAAAAACAACATTGATTAGGTGATGGTCAGGCACCTTCCTAAATGCACTTTTTCCATCCTTACATTCTCTTTCCTCCTTCCAGCTGTGCAGTGCCACCCCCTACCAGATGTGCCAAACGGGAGTTACAGCAACCGGCAAGCCACAGCATTTACCCCTGAAATGTTTGTGAATTACACCTGTGATCCTGGCTATGCTCTTATTGGAGAGGCCACTATTTATTGCACATCATCAGGGACATGGTCTTCCCCTGCCCCTCGTTGCAAAGGTAAATATTTCCACTGTATGGCAGTCCATTTTGGGAAACCACAGCACTGAGAATCTGGATTCACACTCCAAACAAAGTGTGCTGCTTCTATACCATTCCTTACTGCATGAAGCAGTCTCTGGGCAGTGCACAATTGAATTCTGCAGAATACTTATTGGCTCTGACCATAGCAAGCTTGGTACCCAATTAACTAACCTTGGAAGGATGAAGGGCTGAGTCCATCTTGAGCTGACTTCCTTGAATCCATTTTTATCAAGCTCAGGTGGTGGGCAAAGTCTTGGCTGAAGTTCTACAGTTTGAACACTGTGCCTCCTGGCCCCTACAACCATTTATGCATTGAAAAGTATGCTTCCTGACCAATCTGAGAATGAAGATGCTTCAGTTATTCCTGTTTTCTCAGATGGGTCTTTTGGAGTGTCAGAATTCACTTCTGTATGGCAGTGGTATCACTTGCTAGTAGGTGTACATCTCTAATATGTTTATCATTGAGCAGCTGGTATGGTTGATCACTAGAATCATCAGACTAGTCTTCATTTATATTTATTTATTTATTTATTTGATTTATACCCTACCTATCTGGCCCGCCGGGCCACTCTAGGTCCGTGCGCGGGCCTAGACCCTCTTTTAAATATATGGCGGTTAGACATAAACTATTGTGATATGATTCGGGCAGCTTCTTTCCTGGGCCAGGAGAATTCCATTGCAAGAAAAAACTGACTTCCATTAAACCCTAAGCCTGGTAATTTCATTGCAGTGTGTTTTGGTACGGCAAGTATTTTCATATTCTCCCTATCCCAAAATAATGATAATCTGTTACACATATTGCTAAGCAGCCCATCAAAAGTAATCCATTTGTCCATGATATGGTGTCCAAGGAACTCAAGAAATAGACACAGAAATAACCTTGTCTTCTTATTTTTCTCTCTCTCTCCCTTCATTGTTCTAAAACACCTTCTCTTTTCAGTGAGGGAGTGCCCACCACCTCAGCTTGAGAACGGAAGGATTGTGGGCGGTCTTTCTGACACCTACAGACATAACCAAAGTGTTACCTTGGACTGCCACAATGGCCACACGATATCTGGCTCAAGAGAGATCCATTGCCAGATGGATGGCACATGGGAGCCTCCTCTCCCTCTCTGTGAACAGGGTGAGGATCCGGACAAAGCTCTCCCTTTCTCAGAGCAGTATCTATCACCATAGCTGGGATGTGCCATCTATCTATATGTGTTTTGATGTTTCTTTCGTGCATGAAAGGGAAAGCCGGGTTATTGATTCATATGCCCTAGAAGTAGCCCAAATTAAGCCCCAGAGAAGCCCTAAAAACCATTCCAGAAAAGCAGAGAGCAGATAAACAATCTACTCCAAAAAGCCCATGCAAACTGTATTTTACTCATTCTCCCTGCAGGAAAATGCCTAAGCTTTAGAAAAGAGAAACCAACCATGTGATTTCAGTGCCTCTGATTCACCACACTAAGAGATCTTGTGGGCCTTTGCAGCAGAATGGTGAAAATGAATAAGCCACTGCTGAGCCGGGGCTTTGGCAACGTGGCTTACCTTTGCCTTCTTCCACGGAGGATGCAAGATCTCTTTTAAGTCTCGCATGTTAGGCTATTTAAAGTATGTTTCCCCCTCTTCGCTTCCTATTTCTGGCTGACATTGCTGACAGAAGGAGTCTCGCTGTCTGGATCATTTCCAGCCACGTGGTGGCAGAAAGGTCCTCACAGTTCTTTGTGGATCGGGCGGTTGCATCTGCTTCTCCCCTCGGTTTGACTGGCGATTGAAAATCCCGTTTCAAACACCTTGTTTTTCTTACCCTCAT